CGCGAGCGTATCGCCAAACGCAAGGGATAGTGAATGGCATACGCGACTGCGAATCCTGCGAATGTATGTGCTACCATTTGAATTTTACGCGAGTGACTGCGACTTGCGTGCGGGACTGCGAACTGTACGGCCAACCGTGCAATACAAAAGCTTTACAATAGCAGTACACGAGCTGTACAATATGCAAAGTGCACCGCCGTTGCACATGACCTGCAGGTTCACAGCTGTGAACCACAGCACTCACTGCTTTCTTCATACATTTGAACTATCCCTGAATGACAGGTACGAATTCATAGCAAATCCTAACATGACCGATGCAACTCAGCCAGCAACTCTTACCATGGAAAAGGGTCCAACAGTCTAACGTCAGAAAAAATGGACACACAAATGTTAAGCGCATGTAAATGTACCACAATACAGCCACTATTGTCTTCTTATTAAAGCGCTCAATCCTCGCCTCCGCTGATGTCATCTTCACGAACGACGGCATATATCTGCATATCAAAGGATCACAACAAATCATTGTTTAGGCAGGAAAACATAGTTGTGAGCATGTTACGTACAATGACGGCTGTAGGTGTAACACCGGCGTAACGTGCCACGAAATAAGGCAATAAAAAGCATTTAGTTAATAGCCATGGTCTTGCAACCAGAGGCTTCATACCTCCGAACGGCCGCTTCGTGGCCTGCCACGTCCCGTTTGAGCCCGACTCTTGTTCATATCCTTACCACCATCCTTGCGCTTGTCCTATTCCTTGCGATTCTCCTGCTCGTGTCCTTGGAATGTAAAATGACAAGGCATAATGTCAGTGTATGCACCTGCATGATGGCCACTTACTGCCGGTGGCGTCTAGTCCCCCTTTTCCTGCTTTCCCCTGCTTGCCTGCGAATGAATGCTGCGCCATTATAAAGACAGATTCTTGTTAAGCAGCCCCTCGCACAAATGTGTCCGGTCGTACTTCGCGAATAAAAGGTCCGTACATCACGCCCCAAAAGCCAGGAGCGAATTTCACCGCGCGGGTGCGCGCGTGCGATTCGCAAAATGCGCGTGTACAAGTGTATATAAATTTTCTTAGAAGAAAGGCC